TATTCCTGCTGAGTGGAAGAAGACCCAGCACAATAAATACTGCACACTGCTATCTTAGGTTAGTATTTCATAAACAACAGTTGTCTATGCAGCAGGTTCTAAATCCACTTTTTGCATAGGTAATGTTGAACATACTATGGTCACTGCTAGAATTCAGTTATAATCTTCACACTACATGAATTACCTGGAGCAGCTATTCGGGAAAACGTATACACTGCTCAGTCCATACACACAGAAGACTGTTTGAGCTTAAGTTACAATTTAATTTCTTTGTAGACTTTGATCAATGATGAATCTTAGCTTTTATCCATCATGTCTGAAAACTATTATCTTATTTATTAGGAGTGATTTAGTGGGTTAATAAAACTGATATGGCAGCTGGCCCCATGATAACAAGTTATTGCAAGTCCCTGAACAGCTTAAGCCTATCATTTCCTTATCAGCTATCATTTGTGTCAGTGTATGCTAAAATCAGGGCCACTAGTTGTGTAGGAACATATGTTACAACAAATCAGTGAAATTAAAAGAGGAAAGCAGTTCAGCTTGTTTTTTAAAAGTTTTGTTTCAAAAATTGAGAATAAGTTTCTTATGATGACTTGTTTAATTTTATTAATTATACAATAGAAATATAAATAGTAAAATACATATATACTGTACATACACATAGAGATATGCATATAAAGAGACAGAAAGAAGGTACTTGAAGTTGTAGGTTAAAGATGTTATCAGTGTGTCTGGAATGGGTATACTACTCTCAACAAAGAGTCCAAAATAAGCTGTTCAGCTAATTACTTTGGCTTGTAAGATAATAAAAATCCTTATACATTATTACTCTATGAAATAAGTCAGAGCTTGAAAAGTACAGATTATATTTTTTTTTTATTGCTTCTGTGTCATGACTGGAAAGCTGTATTTTTTAGTACCAAAAATTCAACTACACAAATCGCTGAAGGAAATCAGAATGATAACTGCTATGCCTTTAAGACACACTGAATAGGTACTGAAAATATCTATTCTCTACATAACAAAATGTTACAATGGTAAATTGTGATATCTTGGGACATTCCAGAGCAGGAACTGTAGTATACTGCCTACCACTGGAAACCTGAGAATCCAAATCATGCAATAATTCCTGTTTCTGGCTCAAATATGTTGATATTGAATTAGATGTTGAATAATCTAGACATTGAATCCTAATTTTTTAAAGAAGTAATGCTTTTCCTTGCCTCTGGCCCTCTCCAAATTTAGCAGGAGGGAATTCCACATTTGTGGTGAAAGTGTCAAGTTGTATTTTTAGAACTTAAAAAATGGCATGTGATTGAAACTGGAGAATTTAGTGTGTTGGAATGAGATGTAGACAACTGCTTTCTTACATGGACAATGACAAATGTGCAGATAACATTGTTAAAGAAGCGGTCACAGCTCTATTTTGTTTTTCATCCTGTTCAATGCACAACCTTTGCAATGTCAAGATTAAGTAAATGCTGTTATTTCAAAGAATCTGTACATGTGTATTTTAAATACCTCTTGTGTCACATCTAAAATTACTTAATTTTCATGAAAGAATTAAAAATGTTCATGCCTTTAGCATTTGTGTCGGAACTCTTTCAAATATTAGAGTTTCCAGATCCAGGTCTTTGGCCCAAGGTTATCTGTTTAATACTCCTAAAGCAAAAGTAGTGGCTGAAAACCTTCAGGACTTTAATTCACAACGCAGGTGACACAGTACTGTATGTGAAATGGAGGACAACTGTCTAGCATTATGACAGTTAATGAAAGGTCCCTCTGGACACCTTGAGGTGTCACTTTGCTTTGATCAGCCAACTCTGACTTTAATGGATAAAAAGGGAACTGTTATGAGCAGACAGTCCTATGTCTGAGCTTCTGAGTATTAACAGGTCTTTAAAAATGGTCAGTTCACCACATCACCATCCCTCAGACAAATACACTTACAGGGCAAGAAAACTAACAATAAAGAAATAGGTGAGAAACTTTTGGCCTTCCTATGGATCGCCAGGTACTACTGTGTTCTAGTGGTGTTGTGTAGACTCATCACTTTCAGGCAAACAGTAAAAGCTATGACATTTAACAGCAGCCACTTTCTGTCACATTTCTTGGCTGTAAAATCCTGAATGCACACAACAGTCCGTCCAGAAACAGAATTACTATTTCTGATGAGATTTTCAAAGCTACCTAGGCTAAGCAAATATATCATCCTAATGAGCATTTTCTTAAATATCATTTGTATCTAATGCCTTTTGTCAGCTTTGTAAATATAAAGCATTTGAGGGTTTTGTTCTTATCTGTGACTGTCCCATACATGAACCAACAGTAAGATTGTATTTTTTTTTTTTTTTAATGGGCATCACCAGAAACAGAAGAGATAAGCTGAAAACTTTTGTTTATGTGTTCTATGAACTATTTGCTGGGGACTTTGTGTCTTAAGAGTGCATTTCTTCAAGCTTTTGAGAAGTTTCAGTGAAATTAGTGCAAAGTGTTGCGAAGTGTTACCTCTATGTTAGGCTTGGTTTACATGCAATGTACTTGAACTTCAAATGTTACTTTGAGGCAGATCAGTTAAACCAGCTGCCATGGTGTTTTCAAGCTAAGTTTAATAAAAACCAAATGATTGTGAGTATACTGTCCATAACATGCTTAGACAAATTTGGTTTAACACAATCACTTTTTAAATCTATTGAGTGGAATTTATAAGACAGGGCCTATCACCTTTGATAGATGAACTCAAGCAAACTTTGCTATGATCAGTAAAGAAAGAGCTGCCCCCAGCTTGCTCTCCTGCCCTTCTCCTGAAGGTCACTTCTTTTGTAGCAAAACCAGTGGAAGGTAGTAAGTATCTACTGCTTAGCCAGTTTTCTTAGCACCAAGCTCCCCACTTTAGTGTCTTTGGTTAAGATGTTGGGCTCAGCACTTGCAGAGGCTGAGCAATAGGCATGTATTTCCTTCTTTCAGCTCTGTTTGGGAGCAATAATTTCCAGTAGAGCAGCAAGGGATACAAATGTGGGTAAGAACTGCTTAAGCAGCTAAATAATTCATCAGAGTTGGTCACCCTCGAACTTGAGAGAAGAATGAATGAATGACATGTTAGAATTTTTAGTCATAAGAGGTTGAACACTAATTTATAGGGTACACTGGAGAGTTATTTTCAACTGAAAAGTGCCCTGTGAGAGTGTCTGAATATAACAGTGATAAAACAGCCTGATAAAATAAACCTGGTGGATCAAACCTAGCACTCTTTCAACAAGTGAAGTAAAATGAAAGAGAATGCACATTAGGGAAAAGAGATGTAACACGTGGCTAGGAGATCTGCTGTTCCAGCTACATTCTTGTAAGAAAGTAAGTGTTTTAAATTTAAAGAAGATCCCAGCCTTGAATTTTGGATCAAATCATGACAATACTGTTTTCTGTAAGACCAGATTTTGTCCCATGTCAGTGAAAGGTACTGGTAGACACTGTTAAGAAAAGTTTTCAGAAAGCATTGAAAATCAATTTGACAGTTTGCTTTACTTGACACGTCACTCATAAACACTCCTCTTTTTTTTCCACAGGTATCACTATTATGGAATTGGCATTAAAGAAAGTAGTGCGTATTACCACTCTGTGTATTCTGGAAAAGGCTTAACCAGGTACAGTAACGTAACTTCTGAGACAGTCGGTGAAGGTCTAACTTTAACCTTTTCTTAGGAAGGTATTTATAGGATAGTAATTGTTGTTGATACCAGAACTAGCGTTGCTGCAAATCTCAATGTCTGGCATTCCCAGATTTAGGTAGCAGTTTTCTCCCTGAAGACATCGATTTTCTTTTAACAAGTTGATCTAGATCTTTTGCTAGTATCATCCAGTATGGCCTCACCTCAATCAGTGTAGAGCTGCATCAACTTATATCAGCAGAGGATTTGTTCGAGTTAGTGTAAGGCAGCAAAATACCATTTCCAGAACACTTGTCTCATTTTGTTTGCTTGTGTGTCACCCTCTGAGTTCTTTGCCCAGGACAGCTTCGCATTATGAAACGTCTGGAGAATGGTGTGAAGCTGGCACCTGTGGGCAGGAGGGAGGGGTCAGTGTAGATTAATATTTACAGGTCCTTTGACTGGCTAATATCAGTTTAAACCTAACCCAGGAAGCTCTAATTATATTTATTTAAGGGACAGCTAGCAGGATCAATACGTTACGATAGCTGCCTGTTGGTTTGCCAAAGATTAATAGTTCGTAAAACAAATGTCTCTGTTCACATATGGCTTGAATGACGGCTTTCATTGTCTATGGCAGTATACCTGTATAAGTGGGGACTCTGAGAAAGGAAAGGAATAAATGAGTTTATAATCACACATAGAATATTCAACTGCTGGCAGATTTAAGTTATATCCAAAGAGACATTTTCCAAACAATAAGAGAAGTGTAAAAATCGAGGGTAATGTTGCCAATGATGCTTAAAAGGAGGGATCTCTCCACTGCAGGACTTAAGGTATAATAGACTGGAATATGTCACTTCCTTGTCCAGAAATGACTTTTGTCCAGAAATGGCATTTATCCAAAGCTGTGGAGGTGTTGCTGGTACACAGCGAGATGAGGTTCTTTCATAATACGGAATTATCTTGAACAAATTGCTCATTTAATTGACTAAAGGACAGTTATTTTCATTTAAGGGAATAAAACTACTCTTAGTCCTCAGCTTTATGTCAGCCAGTGCCCTTTTCATGTAAAGCTCTGTCCTTGCACAATCTAGCAGCAACGAATGCAAAGAAAGTGCAGGTTCTGCAAAATTCCCCACGGCTGGATTTCCAACGATACATGCTCACATAAGGATGGCATAGATAGTCTCTCAGATTTTCAGGAGTACTCACTCAATTCACTAGTTAGGAACCTTTTCTTTGTGTTAGGACTTGTGCTCTCATGTATGAGATGTTGAATTTTCAGGGTCCATCCCTAGCTGATTTAGAACAGAAGCTCAAATGCTCATTTTGCACAGTCTGGGCCATCACTGTGGTTGGATTTGTCTGTGTGAAGAGAATGACGCAGTAGCCTGGGGTTAAGAACAAGCTTCTGGGTAAGGAAAGAGTCAGGCAGTGTAGGGATTCAAAATTGAGAGTGAATCTCCTGGTTGCTGGCTGTTGCATATAATGACCCATCATAAAATCTGTCCTTTGTCTGATGTCTGTTCTGGTAGATGAGCTGTAAAAATGGTTCCTGGATCAAGCTTGGGGAAGAAATAGGCAGGGAAAATATATGGGTTGATAATGGTATCAGATCACACCATGCCTATGCACAAATATAGGCATATGGAGGCCTTTACCACAAGGCTTGCATGTTAGATGGTAGCTTGTTAAAAGACTAGAAGGGGCAATGGACCTCAGCTTAGTTGCCTAAATATAGATGTCTACTGCCATTTCAAATTTAATTGGCATTCATGTATTAATATTTAGGTAATTCAGCTGAGTACAATAGTCCTTAAATGCAGGGTTGCAGATGTCTGAATCCTTAAATTCCACTGTAGATCTGGCCTTCTGGTTCCTTTAAATATCAAGCCTTGCACTGTGAAAGAAGCATACTTAACACCAAAAATCATTAGTATCCACAGCACTCTGTGAAGGGTAGATTTAGCTGGCAATTAAGGCTCTGGAGGAGCAATGCTAGCAGATGCTGCCTTGTGTTTTTGCTGTACATTCTGTGTACATTTTGCTGCATATGTGGAAATCCATAGTCCATAACAAATACATCCAGCTATGAAGCTAATATCTCCACATTGTAATCAACTGAGTGGTGCCTTCTTTCATACTTATCTATTAACAACTAAGGGAACTCTGTAGGTAACATATGTTGAATAATCATGTGATGGGAACTGTCAGACACCTCTGCCTGGCCTGGGCAGGAGGAATTCCACAACCACTCAGCCTCTGGTTGTCTGTCCTACCAGCAGAGCATCTCAACAGCATGAAATCACAATATTGCCTGTAATAATTATAAGACTTCATGTCGCCCACAGTATCTTATCAGTTGGCAGCTAGCAGAACAGGAAATAACAAGAATCAAACAACTTTTATCATTATACTGATCCATTAGAAACTCTATAATTATATATTCTCTAGTTTAGTAGTTATAATTTAAAATGTGTGCTTTCTAGTTTCTGCACTAAAGAGTTGCCTGATAGTCCAATGACTTCGCTGGCAATCTCTCAATTGGACTTTTAATAGGACATTCAGTATACTGCAACACATTTTTGACATTTAATGAATCTTTGATCACAGAAATGCATTTCACCTGTGTCAAAATAATACTGTGGTGAAAAAGAATGGAAAATCACTTCATTTTCCTGAGGAGTGTAAATTCTAGATATATTTTTTTCTCCTCTGAATTTATCCAGGTGTATCAAAAACTTTATGTATTTCCTGGTAAAGACCTTATGGACTTGCACCTATGCTGCCCTTTTGATATTTGTGAAGTTGCAAAGATCCAAAGAAAAAACTGAAACTGGATTTTATACTTTACTGTTTGGTCAATGATCTGAATCTTCATGTCTTAGAAGACATGAAGCAGGTTTCCTGATATCCTCAGGCACTTGCAAACCAATGGAAGAAGTTAAGAAAAAAGCGTAATTTTTATTATAATTACATTTGGAGAAATGTGATAATTTTTCTAATTGATCTATTTTCTATGTATAGCTATATATATACAAATTCTAAAAAAGTTCTGCTTATGAAAAAATAATCAAATGTGTTTATTTTCAAAGGTTCTCTGGAAGCAAGTTAAAGAATGAGGTAAGTCCTGTAGTCTGTTTCCTTTCACTTCTGTTATAATCCAAATATTATATGACCTGTGGTTTTCCTCACATTATTTTCTTTGAAAATTACAGCAATATTTTTCATTAAAGATTAGACTGCATAACTTTTTTTCTGAACTGAAGCTGAGTATTTGCTCCTTTAAATATTCAAAGGAAAATAAGATCGGAAGGCACCTTCTGGAGTTCCTGTTCCAATCCATTTCCCTATAACCACAGATGATCATAATAGACCCTCTTAATCAAAGGATCAAGCTCTAGCTTAATTTTTTGCATTCATTACTTTTGCAGGAGGGCTTTTTCAGAATCTCATTTGTCTGATTGGAAGACAAAAGATGTTTTTTTTTAATAAACTGAATTTTATACCTCCTGGTCAGGATTGTCTTTCTCTATTTTTTGCTCTTTGTGACATTTGCGTGTGATATGTCTTTTCACTGCTTTTGGTTGCTAGATGAACAAGCAGCAGCTTTTAGTCACTTCTGATTAGCCTTATAGCCTTTCACTGTACTTGTTCTGATTTAAATATCTTTATAGAAAAAGAAAACATAAAGTCTTGTAAATGGTGTGTCTCCAATTTATATTAGAAATATCCCTTCTGATGAACCCTAGAACTGTATTTGGTTTTTGTTTGGGATTTTTTTTCCCCACGGGTAGCCTACATTTTCACTACTATATACTATGGTATAGTCACTGTCATTCTGGTCACATTTTTACTAGAAAATTATGGGTTATTGTACATTAAGGATTAAGGATTGCTCCCAAGATTGTTCTTTGACACTGAGTTCAACTGGCATGGAATAGTCTGCATCCATATTATTAAACTCCTGAACCTACAAAACAACATAGGCACATCTCAGCCACATTGCCACAGAGAAAAGTCCCTAGCATGTAGTAACTGTTGAAGCACAACTAGGAATTCTTTGGGATACTGCTCATTGACATGGGTCAAAAGAATGATAGGGGCCATTCTGAATAGTACAGTTCCAGTATTGCCTGGGAATGTTTCCTGACACCATTTAATTTACCAGACTAAATATACCCTCTGTGATCAACTGATACACAGCAAGTATTTCTCCTTTTTCATTTCCAGATAAGCAACTCCTAGCTGATAGCAGAAAATCTTATTGGTCCCTGAGAGTGTAGCTTTGCTCTATTGATTTTCATCCCCTTTATTGCCATTATCTCAAAGCCATCTAGATCTTTCTACATGACCTCTTGGTCTTCCTCTTTATTGATGATTTCATTAGTTCATGTCAGCCAATTTAATCTATGAAATGTTCAGTGAGATCAGCCCCAAGTCTGATCTTTGAGAATCTTCACTTCAATCCCTTTTCAGCCCAGTGGTTTCCCTGTCAACACAACTTGTTAGCATTTCAGCTGGAGTCAGTTTCTTAAACATTTTACATTCTTGTACTAATCCCCATTCTCACCAGCATAACTAATCATTTCCCATGGTGACACTACGTCAAGTATTTAGTGAGGTTCAGATAGATCTGCTGCATTTTCCCTGTTCAGATAATCAGCTATCTTATCAAAAAAAGATAGTGCTATGCCATGGGATATCCCCAACATACTCAGGGATTCATGAGCACTGCTACAGCATTCATTCTTTCAGAGTTTTGGGTTGGAAAATTGCTGGTTCCCTTGGTATAAACATTTATGACATTTACTTCCATCTCTGATGTGTCATTTGGGAATTGACAGTCCCATAAACCTGTCTTGTTTCTGCTCTGAAGTTGAATACCTTCATCCTCCCAGAAAAAGAATCACAGAGAAGTCGGTGGAAATAAGTGAGAAAGAGCACATCAGTATGAGTTTTTGATTGTCTATCTCTGCATTGTCTGATATTATTCAGGCAGGTCTTAAAAGAAAAAAACAGCTTTCATGGCCAAAACTGATTTTTAACAATCTCGGCATACTGAAAATTTGGCATCATACTTTCCATTAAAGTGAACAGGTGATATATCCATATTCATTTGCTTGAAAGTACATGCAATTAGGTATTCCAGAAAGATTTACAATGATTGTATAAAGTGTAATTCTCAGTAGGAACATAAAGACATTGAAAAGATGTTAAAGCACTGATTACCTAAATATACTGAGTAAATGGCATTTGAATGAACACTTATTGAGTGCCAGGGACACTGTTTACTTCTGGTATGTTTTATCACATTTTCTAGTATTCTCTCTGTAGGGGGAGATATCAGCAAATTCTTTTATCTAAACCAGTTAGTGCACCATTAGAGTCTGCATGGTTAATTAGGCAGATAATATTACTGTCATTATCTTAATGTTAAATGGCCATTAGAAACAGATGGCATTAAATTGAGAGGGCAAGTGGCAGTGAGTTAAAATATTAAGCCTAGAACTGAGGCACAGTCATATAAGTCCATTAGCAAGGTAAAAAACATTGCAGATTATCTTCTCTTAAACCTCCCACCACCATCACTGCCTTCTTTTAAATGAACTAAACCCTTTTAATCAGAGCTTTTAATATATTTCATGGGTAATTGCATAATAAAGTCATTGAGATTATTCCTGTTACGAAAAAAACCAAACCTCCCGATACTGATAGGCAATTATAAAACTGCAAAGGTATTGACATGAAGAAGTACTAATGTTTCTAAATTTCTACAATTTCTTTGAATTAGAGCTTTATATGTATTTGAATAGTAGATAGCACAGGCAAAGTATGTTTGCATAATGTATGCTTTCATTCCTTGCTGTCTGTTTTGGCAGACATATCACCCTATAAAAATAGGGAGATATATATGGTGAATAAGTTAGTTACAGCTATAGTTTTCTGAATTCAGTATTTGAGAGAGTTTCAGTTGGAACTTCATGAGTCAACTTTTATAGGAAAATACTCCCTTTTGCACACTTTTACACTATATGTTATACTATATACCTACTATTCCCAATTCAGTGAAATCTGACTGTATACAAAGGGGTAGGAAAAGGCCATGTCAAGTAGCATTCAAATGCCTTGTGCATCGTCACAAATTCCATCCATTAGTACAAAGGGAATCTGCAGGTCTGCTCAAGGCTTCATACACTGCCTTGACATAACGACTGGGTGGACTAAAACGGAAAAAAGGGTTTCAGCCAAATAGTCTTCTCTAAGTTTGAATGCAATCCTATGAGATTCAGTCAGTAAGGACAGAATCATAATACAGATTTTATTGCTTCTCTTGAGGATGAGGGTTTCATCTTAATTGTACCATTTGAGAGCTTAATAAGCGTAATGTGGTGTGCATTATGAATATAAGGATAGTAACACTATATCACCATAGAATGTTACTCCTCAGCTTTACTGAGTAGACTAAATCAGATTTTGTGACAGTATTAGGTTATGATTCTAAACAAGGGTTGATTTACCATATATTGCTTCATGGTCAGTACCCACATATACAAGGCTGCTTGTTTCATCCTTCAATCCCATCTCTCCAAAGGCTAGCATGTAATAATTTTTCAAGATCTTTTCTCAGTCTGTAACTAGTACCAGATGTGTCTACGATATTTCAGATGTCACAAGCTTAAGTGCTGAGAACTGAAAGAAACTCTCAGATCAGCAGAATTCAGCATAATTCAGGAGGGATTTATCTTGTCTCTAGGTCAGCATTGACCGTGTCTCAAGAAAGTAACTGGAGAATGCTAAACAGCTGGAAATACTGAGATACAAAACTGGGGCTTCAAGTCAAGTCTGCCACAATCACAGAGAGCTATATAATACATACTTAGTTCAGAAGTGTCCATAGACCCCACATACCATCACATCCATAACACCATAAAACATTATCAAACTTTATGATAAACTAAAGTAGTGGTTACCATAGTAAAATAGCAGAAATCACTATTGCTGTGCTATCAGAGCAGGAAGAGAGCAGGGGAGAACAGTAATAGCTCCAGTACCCTAGATCCTTGCACTAGAAAGATACAGATTAAATAAAACTTAGGGTCTCCAGGAGGATATCGCAGCCCATACTGTAGAGGAGAGTAGTACTCTAGTTTTTAAACACAGATTAAATCCAAAGCTTGCAGAATTCCATGAAGTAATGTGGATCAAAGGCTGCATCGCTCTGAAAGCTGTATTTGGTGGAGTTTAGATCTAGGCACATATTTAATTACCTTCCTGAGCTGGAATCCAGATCTGGGTAAGCATCAGTATTTTGGAAGGATTATCTGAATGTAAATATTCTGGAACATTGAGAGATTCATGAGATAATATGCAAGTTTAGCATAAATTGTTGGTTTCAGTCAAATCTGTATTAGCTATTTCAATGTTCCTGTTTTTTCCCTTCTGTTTCAGGGTGGTTTCACTCGTAAATATTCTCTGAGTTCCAAAACTGGAACTCTCCTCCCAGAGTTTCCGAGTGCTCAACACCTTTTGCTTCAAGGGTGCCTTTCTAAAGACAAGGTAAAATGTGAGCTACTTCCTTTCTGACTTACAGATCAAAAATTGCCACAGAATGTTTCTTCATATCTTAGCCTTTGAGGTATTGACATGAAAGAGCCAGAAATGTCCATAATCAAACAGAGGTGACTGATTTATAGAGGGGGCAAACCTTTACTAACACCGATTAACTGGCTTTCCACTGGAAAGGTGGTTGAATTATTTACCTATTAACTGACCTAGTATTTTACAAACTGATGGTATGTAAGACGGGGAGAGCAAAACAAACAAATAACTGAGAGTTGTATTCATTCCAAATGCCTTTGTATTTAAGGTAAATTTTGTTCTGATTGGATCAGAACAAATAATTCACAACAAATAATTAGATGAACTTTACTCTCTTTCATTAATTGTTTGAAAAGAGACTGTGAAAATCTGAGGGTTTTTCTTTTTTTAATTAGTAAAATCGTATTCCTCAAGTCAATACCCAGGATTGCTTGTCCTAAGGGTAACTGTTCAGTTGGAAGCATTGCTGGCATATATTTTATGTCTTTTAGCTCCTTGCCTATATGTTACATCTGTGTTGTTTCTGGTCACATTACAGGCTGCTACATCCTTGAACTGTGCTAGAAACCTTTAGGTACGCATTGTGAACTCTCCAGTTTAGCCTCTGGTACAGGTCATGATGGTGGCTGTCTTGAGATACGTTGTTTTAAAACTTTTTGGTTTATAAGCCCTTCCTCTTAAGTTTGTTCTGTGAAAGCAATGAAGCCTAGGATTCCTGTTGTGAGGAGCTAAACAAAAGTAGCCATCTGTAGTACAGAGATCTTAGCTGGAAATCTTACAGTTCCTAAAGAAAGCCCAAGAACTGGTGTACTCAGTGTGCATCACCTGCTGCTATAGTCTCCATCAGTGAATTGACATCTCATATATACAACATTCTCATAACATTTAAATCCAAAGAGCATTTGAGGTTCCTTGCAGACCTAGCACAGCAGCATAAGCAAAACTGGGTTTTACCACTCCAACAATGAAGAAAAAGATGCAACTCATTTTATCTTCATTTTTGGGTCAGCAACATGTTGGGCTCTGATGTTGGGACCAGATGATGGGAGGGCCCAGCAGGGCTTTGTGGATGATTCTGTCTGGGGACAGAGTCATGGAGTTATGAGGAGACTGTGGGAAGAGATATGAATTTCTGTCTCTTTCCTTGCTGCTCTTTCCTCATTCCTAGTTCTCTTATTTCCCATTTTCTTTCCTTACTGTCTTTCCCTTCCTTCAGCTTATCTGATGAAGGGTTATTGAACCTAAGATATTTAGGTACTGTGTTGAAAAGAACCTGTACATGAAGTTTGACTCTTACATTAAAAAGTCCTAAGAAATTGTATACAACTGAAATTTCTGGAGAGTCCATAAATGTAGCAGTCTGCAACAAAATAGATTGATAATTTCTGCATTTTCTGTTTCTGAAGAAAACTTACCCAAACTTTAAACTTTCATCAACCTCTTCCAAAAAAAAAAAATCTTTAAAGTGTTCCTGAATCTCACCCTTTGCCATTGTTTTTCAAAGACATATAGTTACAGAAGCAGTTCTGAAAGTCAGCAAGGTCCGTTTTCAAAGAAATCTGTATGCTAAACCTATTGAAATAAGGTGGCACTAGGTTCATTCAAAACCTGATATTGGTCTGCCAGAGAAGTTCACAAGCTGTAACAAACTTTCTGCAACTCTGGACCATAAGAATGGTTTTGCTAGCATTTTTGTTTCCTTAAAATACTTCACAAAATTCTTGTTTTATGATTTGCTACAAATTTTGAAATTTGCTACCATTTTTTACAAAGTCTTGTAATACCTCTGCACAGTTATTAAAATATGGGAACACTCCACTCAGATAAATTAGCCTGATGAGATGAAAGGGAGTTCTGCTTTTTAAAGTTCAGTTCTTGTAAGGCAGTGATTAAACTTTGACCAAATGACTGGCAGCTATTTTCTCATTTGTCCAACTAGATGATGTTTCAGAACACTCATAGACGCCTATAGTAGCCTAATGATTAACTTGCACTACTCTTTGGGATTAATCTTAGCTTCAGAAAGGTGAATTTACTTTACCATCCGACTGGCTAATCTAGCTATTGCCTTACTTGATATCCACATTTTCACAGTGTATACAGATTCAGATGCTATATTTCTGACAACAGCATTGAGACTTAAAGATGTCAATAAAAAGTAGAGATGAGTGACCTCCTCATCACTTCTGGATATACAGACTGCCTACTTGTAAATATGCATTGTTATACAGTTTATATTCTATATTTAAATATTAGCTACAGAAAGCAGAAACCTAGATCACTATAGCAGTAAAGGAGAGAGCTAAGAAACTCTATTTAATCTTTCTTTCTTCCAAAATAGGTAGATACTCTTATCATGATGTACAAAACACACTGTCAGTGTGTCCTTGACAATGCAATTAATGGGAACTTTGAAGAGGTAAGGTTGTTTGAACATACTTTCTTGGTATATATGCACAGGGAGCCAAGAAAGCATTATTTATGTCAATGAATCTGGTTCCTACTCCTTTAGATTCAGCATTTCTTACTACATTTTTGGCAAGGAATGCCTGACCATCTTCTTCCCCTGCTTGAAAATCCCATCATTGTTGACATCTTCTGTGTTTGCGACTCAATACTGTATAAGGTAAGTTAAGCATTTAGCTACATGGATAATCTCAACCACGTTACAGGTTTTGCTTGTGTAAAAACAGTGTTGAAGTTAGAATCACAGGATGCCAAGGCTGCTCTCTGCTTCTTACCTGTATAAATCAGCAAGGATTGCATTGAAATCAAGAACATAAAACTGGCACATGTAAGAGCTGAACTCCAGTCTCAGCTCTGCTGCACACTTGATGTGTGACTGCAGGCAGCACACTAATGGTGAAATCCTGACCTACTTGTTTGAATGCAGCTAAAAGAAATGCTTGTGTGCTTCACTGACAAAGCTAAGTTAAGCCTGGATGAAAACTGAAGCCTTGGTTTTTACTTAAAAGATTATTGCAATTTCTACCAGCAGAGTCTGTGGCAGATCAGCGAGGTGATTCCACACGCGAATCTGCTACTCACAGGTTATGTCAGGCCATGGTTTCATGTTACAGAGCTGGAATAATGCTAGGTTAAGATATTCCTGCCTCTTCTGTCTGCTACACTTCATTTCTGTTCCTGTGCTGCTAGATGTACCAGCAAAACTGCTGCACTCTGAACTGGTTTGGGTTTAAGAACAAATCTCAGGAACATCTGTTTTGCAGAGATTTTGTGCCATATGAGTTCTTTGATCTAGTTCACAGCATGATCACACAAATAGTCAAAACTAAGTGAAAGCAAGGAGTATTGCAAGGTCAGGATTAAGTGAGAGAACACTGAGGAAAAAATGAAGTAATGCATGCCTTCAAAGTTTCCTGAGTTTTTAATTTGGAAAATCAGAACGGATCATTAATTAATAGCTGCAAAGTACTTTAAGTTCCTCTGATAGGACATGCCATATAAATACAAAAGGATTGTCATCCTCTCTCTAACACATTTCACAACCACATACCAATGGAAGAAATAACTATTGGCATAACAGTAAACACTAAGCAGTCAAAGCAAGAGACTTGAGGCTGTTTAGCACTGAGTGCCTTATTGTCATCTATTTGTCATTCTTTACTGTACAAAAATATGGGGGGAAATAAAAAAAAGATGAAAATATGTATTTCTTAGCAACATATCAAGCTGTAAAGTGAGAAGAGATGTTTTAGTTAGCAGAGTGAAGTAAAGGAGATTAGCATCAGCGATCATAATTACTACCCTGGAGATGAGCCATTAAGCCTCATTTACTTGCAGAGGTTATATTGTATCTTGAGTTTATGAGTTTTTTCCTGTTCAAAACATGCTGTCCCAATAGATCCAATATTAACTTTATTTATAATAAATATTTAATTTGACAGAAGAAGAAATACTACAGCAACACTAAATTATAAATTGAATAAGACAATTTTTCAAAAGTTCATTAATTTACTATTGTGCCTTTTTTTTGTTTCTCACTATTTCTCACTTCTTTGAAGGTCCTTACAGATGTACTCATCCCTGCAACAATGCAAGAAATGCCAGAAAGGTATGTATTTGACAATAATAATGCTACATTCTGTTTGTTAGGTATATTCCAGATAAACAGCAGAAATTCTATATCCTAGAGGAATTTTCTCACAATATTTATGCTCATTTTTAGAACAGTATAGTATGTATGGCAAAATGCTGTCAGCTCTGAGGACAGCTAGAGAACAGCCTTAAAATATTACACCATATTTTCATATCCCATTTTACTGGCTTGTTGGATATTTTGAAATAGGTTTCTTCTACACTAAAACCCTAGAAGATCAAAAACGAAACAAATGTACTTGTGTTGTTTAAGGAAAAATAATTATTACCTTTTTCTCAGAATGCTTTTCAGGTTTGTATCCTATGCATCACCAAAATATCTAAGCATTTTCTCAACAAGACATTAATAAGAGGATTATTACAAGTTACCTTTGAATCTTCTCATCTTTCCTTTCCCTTGAAGGGCATCTTGTTTGGTGTTTTATGTCTGACTAAGGTCTTTAGCTTCAGATATCTCTAATGGTTCTTGGATTTCTTGTGATTTATTCTTAAAGCTAGTGTTTTTCAATCTATTTCAACTGGCAGATGGCTTACAATTTTTCTCAGAGGAGGTACAGATCAATATATAGTCAATTTTAGCCTTTTGATGATTGGCCATTTCCTGTTTCCTTTTGGTGACACTTGAGGAGTAATTCACAGATATATCCAGGAGTCTGTTAATCGTAGACTGAAACCCAATTCTTCAAACTAATGCAAGACAATTTTGATTGATGTTTCTCTAAAACACATTTTTTCCTTCTAGTTTACTGGCAGATATAAGAAATTTTGCAAAAAATTGGGAACAGTGGGTTGTTTCCTCTTTGGAAAATCTACCAGAAAACCTGACAGATAAGAAACTGCCTATTGCACGAAGATTTGTTTCCTCCTTGAAACGACAGACATCATTCCTACACCTAGCACAGGTAAACAGAATAAGACTATACATCAAAAAAAATGTCAGTTACATTCAGTGCACCTTGCTGGCTGTGGGATACAATGCATTATTTTTTCAAGGTTCAACTTCAGCCATGGAAGACTTGCATCTTGTAGTTTTAACCATGCATGAAGGAAGCAGCATAGATCTGACCAAAACTTCAAATTTTTGTAGTAGAAAAGAGAGAAAAGACCATAGTTATAATGAACTACTATCATAGGAACTTTTGGCAATCAAATTAAGTGAAATACATGGGTATTTGTTTTAGTTCCAAATTGGAAAATATCAGATGGTCCTTCTTGACTAGCAAAGGTTTACTGTCTTGTCCATGGTGTCCTTTAATGAGCTTATTTCTTTTTGAGTTTTGACTGAAAGGAGAACATGTGAGTGACAGGTAGCTGAGGGCTCCAAGGTTGTTTTGGCAGGATATAGGTATCTGCAATTAGGAGGCACCTCCATGTGCTGGTTTGGTAGATTATACAAAAGGATAGAATGCCTTTCGGGGAACTTAAGTGCTAACAGCTTGGGCTTTGAGGTGGTAGTCCTCATGAATAACCATATATTCATCTTGATTTAGTTTTCTCTTTCATAAATATTAAGACAGAAGTAGCGTGTGGGTGACATTGTGAAGATGATCTGACAGGAAGGCACATTAGAAGAGCATTAGAAGTCTAATGGAAGGGAAACACTGTCTCATCTGATCTATGAAAAACCCAGCCATGATAAGAAAATTAAACAGAATATAATTCTTCTCTGAGGAGTTATTCAGGTCATCCCCAAGTGTGGGTCTGTGCTAGTTTTAGCTGGGATAGAGTTAATTTTTTTCACAGCAGCTAGTATGGGGCTATGTTTTGGATTTGTGCTGGAAACAGTGTTGATAATTCTGGGATGTTTTCATTATTGCTGAGCAGTGCTTATACAGAGTCAAGGCCTTTTCTGCTTGTCACACCACCCTGCCAGCAAGTAGGTTGGAGGTGCACAAAAAGTTGGGAGGGGACACAGCTGGGATAGCTGATCCCAACTGACCAGAGGGTTATTCCATACCATATGACATCATGCTTGGCAATAAAACTAGGAGGGAGGTTGGGGCGGGGAGGGTGGGCTGCTCAGGGACTGACTGGGCATCAGTCTGTTGGTGGTGAGCAATTGTTTTCATTTGCATCATTTGTCTTTCTTGGGTTGTATTTTTCTCTCTGTTTTTTTTTTTTTCCTTTTCCTTATTGTTGTTGTTATTATTATTGTTACTATTATTATTTTTATTATTATT